GGGGGGGGGGGGGGGGGGTTATGGGGGGGGTGTTGTGGGTCTGGGGGGTTTGCTTGTGTGTGGCTTATCTGTGCTTCTGGAACATGCTGTTCTAACTTAATCAGTATTAAGTTAATCAGTTAACCTTTCTGTTTAACATTTGCATGGATCACAATCCTGGTGTGCTGCATGAGATTCAAATTTACCTCATTCAGATTTACCAGTCTGTTGCTATCAGTTTTTTTTTTTTTGTTTGTTAAGTATGTGAGACCATTGTGAGGATAATATTAAATGTTGCTCTTCTGAAATGCTTGGGATTCCTTTTAAGGCAAAAAAAAAAAAAAAAGAAACGATTCAGTAAATACTGGAAAGTCACACGTAAGCCAAGAAATTATGTGCTTTATCGGGGAACGTGATGGAAGACTGACGCCGATAGATTTGTCCTTTTTCTTGGTGAGCGATAGATGTTCAGTTAGCATTTAATTAGCGGCACGGACGTGAGACACGTGCGTAAAGTCACATCATAGACCGCAGCGGATAAGGTTCAGCTGCCGACAGAAAATAAAATGTGTGGTTACCATGGTTACGTCTTCTTCCTCTACACCTCTCTCCCCACTATGGATTGATAATTAGCACGTTTCTGCTCCAGATCTAGTAACATTCCATCACTGAGAGGCGCTGCAGCAAGCTCTCTGTTGGAATGCGTCCCGGAGACGTGTCTCTGGCTTATCGCGAGTGATCAGGATGTCGTCTCGTCCGCGTACACGCTCCTGCTAGTGGTTAGCACCAACGTAGGTCCCACGCTGGTGCAAGAGGTTCACTGAAGCTCGCTGCAGTCTTGCGGTGGCCTTCTACGTCTCTCACCAGAAGGTTCACCTGCTTGGTGGGACACTTTTCCTCCTCAAAGCCGCTTAATACCTTCTCCTCGGCTCGCCCAGAATGAACCTAGAGCCGAAGCCTTTGTGGTATTTTTGGCTGGATTTTGGAATTCTTTCTCCAGGCATTTGGCTGACATACAGAACCTTGCCCTAATGAAAGTGTTCCAGACCTGAGCACCATAAAGCCTCTTCTTAAAACTTATTAGTGTCTGACTGAGCAAAGCTTACATTCCACAGAAGATCTAAAAATGAGGCTCTGTTGGAGCTTTGTGATGTTGGGTATAATGTTTAAACTTGTTTTGTACAGTATTTGTAGGTTCGAGACAGTCACTGTGTATTTAGAGGGTTAACTGCATTGCAATTATAGTGCTGATTGGGAAGCATGTTGCGGTCATTCTGTGCTGATTGGGAAGCATGTTGCGGTCATTCTGTGCTGATTGGGAAGCATGTTGCGGTCATTCTCAGGACTCTCACATGTGCTGTTGTACATTGGATGCCCTTTGGCTGTAAATATGAAATCTCTAGGGATGCCTTTTGATCTGACTATGACGTCTGGCCAAGCAGCGCAAGATGTGGTTGCATCTAGTCTGTTCCATATTAAGCACGTGCTCTAACACAGTGTAAGGATATTTTTCTGCTTCGTCATTTTTGGAATTATCGAAACAGCGTTCCTGTTTGCCAGCTGAGATGCGAACGGACGTGCTAACTTCTCGGGAATGGATGACGAGACGGCGACTCTTCCTTGTTAGGTAGTTTCCCCGGGCGATGCCTGTCATAGGTGCTGATATGGGGGGTGGTGGATTTAGAGGAGGGCCTGTTCTCGCAGTGACTATAAATAAAAGCATGTTGTTCGGTCACGTGGAATGTGCCGTCGGCTTATATGGAAGGGCCGGCAGATGACGAGTGGGATTTTTCCATTGAGAAACGTAGATAAATCACAACGTAGTAAATGTGGGATTTGAACTTGACTTCAGTAAATAAGTCTAAGGTCCCCGCTATGAATATGTGTCTATTTAAGGAAACACGGCTCCTAGCTATGTTTCCCCTTGACCAATTAGCAGCTTGTTCATCCATGAGTGGACCTGTCACCTCATACTGAGCGTGTTCCTGACTGCTGTCTGTCGACAGAGCTGAGGGCTGGCCGAAACGCAGCTGTCTTTTCCGTTTTGCTTTCCAGGGTGTTTTGGTGGAGCTGGTCAGGTTTAGCCTTCCAACAGCTCTGTACAGGGACTTGATCCCACAATGTTCTGGTGCCCATCTCTGTCACTACTGTATGAACTGTTGCATGAAAATTACATGAAATATTAATATGCAGACTGTAGCTCCATGGCGTTTCATGGTTCAGAGTTGGACATCATGAATGAGATTTTCTGTCTTTTGAGTTTAAGTACAATTTGCAGGCATTTAATCTGCAAGGTCTCTAATTCCTAGCATTTCTGTACACAACGATATGCAAAATGTGAGAAATGTCAGTCAGTCTGGCTCGTCTTTGGTTCGCCCTCAGTGTGCCGGGGCGCGATGCCAGCTGGGAGCCCGTTGCTAGGATACCAGGGGTACGGCAGCCACTCGCAGGCTTGGATCGGGTTCGTTGGCCGAGGCAGTTTGTTTACCTGATGGCTCCACTTTAGCGGGGTGGGGGAGTCCCTCTGGGAGGTCCGTGTAAGGATGTCCCTCAGACAGAGGGGCACTGTCCCCTCATGCGGCCGTGTTGACACCGGATAGAGGGATGAAGATGGCGTGGGAGGGAGGGAGCGAGAGACTGAGAAGGGAGGTCAAGTCTGTGGCGTCGGCTCAGACATCCATATTGAGACTGAGTCAAGGAGACATCATTTATCTATTGCAATGTTTCCCTTTCCAGCCCCCGGGGCCCCCTAAGGAGCAAAAATGTGGACTGTCTGGGAGGGAGCAAAAATGGGGACTGTCTGGGAGGGAGCAAAAATTGGGACTGTCTGGGAGGGAGCAACCATGGGGACTGTCTGGGGGGGTCCCCCAGGACCGGATTGGGAAGCACTGATTTAGTGTATTTGTTTTGAGTTTGCCCACCTCCCCTGGTAGTCATAACGTCAGCACTTCTGTGGTAAGTGGTAGGCAATACTCATGAAGACTCTCCTGGGAATAATATGGGAACTTAAAGGTCCTTGACATCATGGCCTGGAAGCTGGTGGTCAGCAGGAGTTTCAAGCCTCTCATTTACATCATCTGTAGTTATAACAGACCATAATCTCATCCCGCCCTTGAGGGGCCATTAGAAATGTGCTGGAGATCCATCCCTGCCTCCCCAGGTACAGGTAGTGTTAAGACTTGCTTTTAATGAAATCAGGCGGTGCGCTTTGCTAAGGAGCCGCTCCCCCGCCTAGGCCATGCCCCCTAGATGCCGTTTTGTCGCCTGTACTAATGTTCCTGACTCCGCCCCCCTGCTTCTGCCTCCCCATGTAGTGTGAGACGCCATCTTGTGACGTCCAGCATATTTACTTATCCTGGGACTGTGTTCACCCCGTGGCGCTGACCGTGGATATGACGTCAGGCACACTTACAGCCACCGTACCGTACGCTTGGGGGGGTAAATTGCAGATCATGTGCCCGGTGAGCTCCTGGCTGAGCCGTTGGGTCACGTGGATGTCTCCCCTTCCCCCCCCCCGCACAGTGTGTCCTGCCAAATGCGAGAGGAGAGCGTGCACGGAGTCCGGCGAGTGCTGCCACCCGCAGTGCCTGGGCAGCTGCACGGTGCCCGACAGCGACGCGTCCTGCGATGCCTGCCTGCACTACTTCCACGAGGGCCACTGCGTGCCCGACTGCCCCGCCGACACCTACAAGTTCGAAGGCTGGCGCTGCATCACCATGGAGCTTTGTGCCCGCGTGCACCTGCCCAACGACTTCGACCGCTTCGTCATCCATGCCGGCGAGTGCATGCCCGACTGCCCCACGGGCTTCACACGCAATGAGAACCACAGGTGGGCATGGGCGCCATAATCCACAGCACCCCACCACGGTTGTGCGTAACAGTAACCCTAACATGGCGTATAGCGGGAGACTGCATGGCATAATGGCATCTGCTCTCAAGTAGCAAACTATAACATCTTCCAATTCTTCAGGCTCCATCGGTCCTGCTGCCCATCTGATGTTTCATGTGTGAAAATAATAAGACTTTTTTACGCTCAGTGAGGATTCTTAGCCTTAGGAGAGACGACCACGTATCTCGTATGAAATGGGGAAAGCAGGTTTAAGCCCGGTTTGAGTCCCACCGCTCACCAGTCCTGACTCCTCTCTACTCTGCACCTCTCTCGGTTTGATCTAGGTTTGAATCCCACAGTTTGCCGGCCTTGACTCCTTTCTCCTCTGCACTTCCCCTCAGTATGTTCTGCAGTGCTTGTGATGGTCCCTGTGACAAGATCTGTGAAGGGAAGATGATCGACTCTGTGGACGCGGCTCAGTCCCTCAAGGGCTGCACAATCATCAAGGGCAACCTCCACATCAACATCCGTCGGGGAAGTAAGTCACCACAGGGTGTGTTCGCTGCCATGCGCCTACTTCCAGGGTCCCTTATACCTCTGACTGCCTGACCTAATTAGGCTCACTGTACCTGGCTCACATAAATGTTAAATACACACACAGCATAACCAGCCCACCCTATAGCCCAGAAGGACACTGGCCACCCAGCTGTTTCCTAGGCTACCATTCAAGGACGTGCAGCTTGTAGCTGTAATAAGAAATTTGGCTTTCTAATGTCAGTTCTGGCCAGAATGGATAGTGGATATTTTGGCTTGTATAGAGATTTGGATAAACTATCATAACACACAGAAGTGTGTAAATTATTAGTGAAATACCCAACAATAAATAAGCACAGGTATGAAGCATAAGGGCTTTTCCATTTTCACTGCCTCGTTTTAGATCAATGCAGGGTTTCCCAACCCAGGCCTCAGGGAGTTGCAGATGCTCCACGTTTTTGCTCCCTCCCAGTTTCCTGCCATACAGTCCACATTTTTTGCTACCAGGAGCCAGGAGGGAGCAAAACTGTGAACCATCTGCAGCTCCCCATGGACAGGATTGGGAAGCACTGCTCCAAAATGACAAACAATGCAATTAACTAGGGGCTTCCTCCTCCTTTCTGCTGATAGACCGTCTATGCTGGCTTTCGTTCTCAGCATCTTTATCGATTAGCCTTCATCAGGCTGTGTATCGAATGAACCGGACGATTCGCATCACGTAAAAATATGCTCAGATAAATTATCCTTTTCAGACAGCGATCTCTTGTATAGCATTTACATAACTAAAACCTTCATTGATCTTATGTAAGGTCTTATTTAATTCAAATTTAGTTAAACATACAAACTTGTAAATCCTCACTAATTCTCAGTAGGATAGATGTTTACATTCTGCAGGCTATTCTGTCAGTAGCACAGTCACTGATATTTGGAACATGGGGTGAGCTGGGAGACCCACCCTTGAAGGTGGATCAGACCAGCCAGGCCCGAACGTGATGGTCAAACAAAGCATTGACTGTTTAGAAAAGGCACTTCTTTGGGTTGTCCTAGTACTGAAAAATGCCACATCTCATCCAGATCACATCAGATTCAAAGGACACTCACTATTAATTATACATCACTAAGACCGTGCCGGAATGTTTCCATGGATTTGGGAGTATTGGCTACGCTTCAAAGTAACCGGGTTAGTCTGTGCCTAGCCCATCTGAAAAGCTCTGGGTTTTTAATTTGCAAATTATACAGTTAGTTATAGAGAATGGCTGGCAAAATCCTCAGGACAGATCTCTGCCGGGGCAGAATTGACGTTTTGTTCATATTCTGTTTATTGGAAATCTTCTCCTGTAAGATCCTCCTTAACTGTGACAGTTGATGACCTTTGGGCCCCGACAAAGGTGTGCTCTGGGCCTGGAGATTCCTGGTGTGGAGTAGGTCTGGAATGGTGGTGGAAATGCTGCCTGTGATGCTCTTGCCCCAACGACTTGGTTCTTGGGACATGGTGCCAGTGGTTCCCATGCGCTTTTTGCAGATGACATTGCATCAGAGCTGGAGAGCTTCATGGGCCTCATCCAGACGGTGACGGGCGCCGTGAGGATCCGACACTCGCACACGCTGAGCTCCCTGTCCTTCCTGAAGAGCTTACACTACATCATCGGGGAAGAGCTCATCGATGGGTATGGCGCCCTCTGTGGTTGTCAGGGGCACAACGGGACTTTGGCCACAGGGGTGGGCGGGATATAGTGCTGTCAATCTGTCAGTCTGACCCAATGGGAAAGCAAAGTAACCAGGGAGAAATGGGGTAAACAAAGTTAAATCAGTTATCACTGAATAAATCTTTTTTTGTCAGTGCATTTAGTATATGCAATTTTGCATTACTGTAGTAAGCTTTAAGCTGCAAAGCAGAGCATTTACTGCTGTCCACAGATTAGATTTACTTGGTTTACCTGGATAGATGAGATTTAGGCCCTGTAGTTAAAGGGGGAAAAGCTTTGGATCAGGTGAATGAGAATGACATATAAAAGGCAGGCAGGATGGGCAGTGGCAGGAGGCCTCGCCTGCAGGGGAGGCCAAAGCAGATGTGATACCAACACCCGCCTGTAGGGAGCAGCACACCTTTTTGTAATATTTTTTTTTTCCCCCCCCCATTACATATCAGTGTATAAACGTGTGTGATGGTGGAGACAATTCAGGTGATCTTAGTGAGGAGATCCTGGGACTGCGTCTCCTTTCCTTTTTTTAAGTAGTAACTGGCACCCTCCACAGGGTGACACATTCCCGATCTGCCCAGCCGTGACTCAAGTTTCTGAAGATGGGGGGGGGGGGGGGGGGGGGTCCTCCTGCTCTCCCAGGGTAGAGACACCAACACACAAACAGCATTCCTGACATTCCCGAGGGCTCTGTTAAAGTTAGCCCAAGTCCAGACTGGGCCGCGGATGCCGTTTGCTATTTCCGATGCCAGGTTGCACTCCTCCGCTGACAAAGAAGGTCCGTTACTGGTCCCCAGAGGGAAATTAGGAATCAGAGTGGAGGTTTACTTTTTTGTGTTTTACACCAATTTTTAAATATCACAGATCTTGTCAGAAAATTATTGTTATAGTGTAATTTAATTAAGGCCATTTATACATAAAAAAATTGTAGCTGTAAATGTTCAAATAATTATAATTATTCTTAAATGCTTTGATCTGCTAGTGTTCTGCCGCTCAGCTAGTTAAGATGACCTGTTCTCTTTGCCTAACCACAGGATGTATGCTTTCTCCGCACTGGATAACCAAAACCTCCAGCACCTCTGGGACTGGAACCAGCACAATCTGACCATCAAGACTGGGAAGCTGTTTTTTCGATTCAACCCTAAACTATGCATGTCGGAGATTCGCAAGATGTGGGAGAAGAGTGGCATCACCAGCACCTTCGAAGAGGGTGACTTTCGCAACAACGGGGACAGGGCCAGCTGTGAGTCTCAGCGTCCGTGTGACGGCGTCCTGTGTGACTGCGTCCCGTGTGACGGTGTCCTGTGTCACTGCGTCCTGTGTGAGGGAGTGGGGGTTTTTGAAGCCTTATGGTCGGCGTGTATTTATCTGAAATCAAAACTTCTGACTCAGAATTTAGTGTCAGCATTAAAAACCTGTCATTTTCATTGCATTGTCCTGTCACCCTCAGTTCTTGACTTGAGGAATTTTCCACATGGCCTGTAACCTCTTGCATACAATGTAAATTGAATATTTTTTTTTTACAGATTCCTTCGAAGAGGCTAGATTGTAGCCATAAATATTGGCGGTTTTATTGCTCCTTTAACCATATGATGAATATTATGAAACTCTTGTTTCGCAATGTAAATTTAAACGTTCACGACTTAAATTTCACAGGAGTAGAAACCCACAGTCTTGCTGAATTCATTCATGCACACTGTATGGTATAACTGACTGATTACAGTGCCTGTGGTAATACTCCTCAACCTTAATCTTGAATTTCTGTTTCTGTGGCTCCTTGATGGTACACCTAAAGTAACTCCAATTCGTGACATTCAAGAATTCTATTTGAGTTTTAATATATGGAATGAATTGGGGCTCAAAATGCTACCTGGGATTCGAGTTGCGTAACTATTTTCCAACCCTTGGAGCCTGACTTTTCTCTATGCTGGTCTCTGTATTGACATTGTAAGAGGAATGGGTGATCATTGTGTTCAGATGATGTTATGAAGTGTTGTAGGCTGCTGTAGTGTACAGTATTTGTAACATCTTTCAGCTTTGTTGTAACATTTATGAAGTATTCAGTGACTCATTAAGGTGGTTAAGGTCAGTGACAGAGACTCTGGTGCTGTCTGGTCTTTGCAGGTGAGAGTCACATCATCAAGTTCAAGTCCAACAGTACCAGCAGTAACAAGATCAAACTGACCTGGGAACGCTACCGACCTCCGGATTACAGGGATCTCATCAGTTTTATCATCTATTACAAGGAAGCGTGAGTATGTTGCCGGTCCGAGCCTGGGATCTGTCAGGCTGCCCCCCCCCCTTCCTCCCGAGGAAGAGAGTGTGCCAGAAGACACACCTCTGAGGACTCCATACTTTCACTCCTTCCGAGTCCGTGTGCTAGTCATGCCTTGGGTTTTGATTTTAACAATCAAGTTAAAATTTTATGCTCTGTTTGTCTTGGGCACCCCTGAACATTGTTCACGCGTACGAACGCACAAGGACTTTTCTGCTTACCCTTGTCAAATGTGCCCTTTTCCAGACCTTTCCAGAACATCACCGAATTCGATGGTCAGGATGGCTGTGGGTCCAACAGCTGGAACATGGTGGATGTAGAACTTCCAAAGGAAAAGGATGTGGACCCTGGGGTGCTTCTCAGTCCACTGAAACCCTGGACTCAGTACGCCATCTTCGTGAAGGCCATCACCCTAGTTGTCGATTACAAGCACATCTTCGGAGCCAAAAGTGAGGTGATCTACATTTGGACAAAGCCCTCAGGTAATGTTCACCTTCTCGAATAGGCACTCATTTGCTCGCTGACGTATCTATTGCACAAATGTGATTAATTTATGTTCTTAAACATGCACTCACCTTTTGACGTAGCAGCCTTTTATGAAGCCTCACAAGCTGTTTGTTTTGCAAAAACAGAGCCATCGATGCCGATGGATGTCCGCTCGTACTCAAACTCCTCCACGAAGCTGCTGGTGAAGTGGTCTCCTCCATTCTCTCCCAACGGGAACCACACCTACTACCTCCTCCGCTGGCAACGGCAGTCTGAAGACAAAGAGCTTTACATGCACAACTACTGCTCCAAAGGTGAGCCTTGATGGTTGGGCACTCCTCCACCTTTACTGGGAGAATCATCTGCTTTCACAACTGCTAAGAATCAAAGGATTTCTGCAATCATTTTTCTCATCTGCAGAGCTGAAGATCCCCATTAGGATCTCAGCCACAGGAGCTGTAGATGCAGAAGATGACAGCAAGCTTCCCAAGACAGACGCCGGTGCCGGGGACAAAGGGCCGTGCTGCCAGTGCCCCAAGACTAGCGATGACCTGAGGGTCGAGGCGGAGGATGCTTCTTACCGCAAAGTCTTTGAGAACTTTCTTCACAACTCGATCTTCACTCCCAGGTAGGCCTCATCTGAAGTGCCTTGAGGCCTTGTGTTTGGATGCTTTCCTTGGGTTGCTTTTCAACAATTGGAGGCGAGGTTGTCTGTGCCCCACCCTCTGAATTCCCCACAATGTGAGGTTTTAAAGGATGTGGTAGGGTGAGCAGAGGAGGAGGATGTGTTTGTTTTCGATTTTCTGAGCCCCCCTCTGGGCACTGAGCCGCTTTGTCAGTCTCACAGTTCCATGGTACGACAGTGGGAGGGCGCAATGTGGTGTGTAACCTTCAGGTCATCTGGGGACAGAATCAGCCATCCGCACGCCGAGCTCGCATCCGGCCAGACCTCGGCTGCGTGCCTCACAGAGAGGCTGTTTGTGTGACTGTCAGACCCACAAACACACACACACACACACAGTGTTTTGTGCAGAAGAAACTGAGCCTTTGTCTTCCTGCCTTTTCCCTCCTCTGCTTTTCTCTCCTCTTTATTTCTTGAATTCTTCCTTCAGCTCCCTCTCTTGAGTGGCCATCGTTCCACCTTCAGGGCCACGTGTGACCTTCCTTGAGCTATAGGCATGTTGTCCTGTGACCGTAGCAACGTGTGTGTGTGAGCCATTTTACATGCATTGTGCAGTGAATTCTCATCCAGCTTGAATGGCAGCCTGACCTGGCCGGGTGAGCGGACAGTCACGCGCTTCTGATGAAGACCGTTCCTCAGAAACCAGTAGAACTGTGTTTTTAAGGTTGTAGGTGTCTCTACAGCCCCGGGGTGCTGTTCAGGTTGTCCCCTGCCTTGTGCATTGCATTTGCAGAACCCCCGTCCCTGAATGGGTAATAGCCCCAGCTGAAGAGTGGCTTAGGTTATTATTTGCTGTAGACTTCTGTACAGTGCCTCAGAGTTCGTACATAAACTCAGGTATCCATAGCCTGGGCTTCGCTCCTTGTTTACCCACAGGTCCATAAACGTAATTGGGATTGGCACTGAGTGATGCATAGGAGGAACCATCGTGGTGAAGAGGTTGTGGTTTTCAAGCTGCTGTCTCTCTCACTCTGCGACCTCCCTGGCTAGCAGAGTTCAGGCTGAGGCGCAGAGACAAGGCAGCAGACCAGCTCACACAATGACATTAATAAACCTCTTACACGTGGGGGGCACTGTAATGCAAGCTGTATTGTCAAGTTCATAAGTTCTTTTTGAAGTATGGATTTTTTTTTGTGTGTGTCCCCCCCCACATTCTACAGGCCCCCAGACCGTCGCCGCCGAGATGTCTTCGGTATAGCCAACTCCACCCTTATGTACAGCGTGAGCGGGAACACCACCGAGCTGGAAGGCAACGCCACGGACGGGGTCCCGCACACCATAGAGTACCAGTTTGAGGAGACCACGGTGAGTGGCAAGGAGTCATGGGAGATCTCTGGCCTGGAGGCCTTCACTGTGTACCGCATTGACATCCACGCCTGCAACCGCGAGGTGAAGCACTGCAGCGCGGCCGCCTTCGTCTTTGCCAGGACCAAGCCAGCAGGTAGGTTCTCTGGGAATGGGGGAGAAGGCTTCCAAGTTCATCTGGACTGCCGCGATGCTGAGGTCCAGTTTACCCTTCAGACAAGGCAGACGACATACCAGCACCTGTGACGTGGCAGGGGGGCGAGCGTGAAGACGACACCGTGTTCCTGAAGTGGGCAGAACCCAAAAGACCCAACGGGCTGATTTTGATGTATGAGATCAAGTTCCGTCTGGGTGCCGAGGTGAGCATCCGAACCCGAAACAGTGGGGTGAGTGGAGGTACGCGGCTCCACACGTTTGACCTCGGGGTGTCCGTGCCCGTCCTCCAGGCCGAGAAGCACGAGTGTGTCTCCCGGCAGCACTACCGGGAGCATGGGGGAGCCCGGCTAAGTCACCTCAGCCCAGGGAATTACTCCGCCCGCATCAGAGCCACCTCGCTGATGGGCAACGGCTCCTGGACTCTGCCTGTGGCCTTCTATGTGAAACAGCTAAAACGTAAGGCACCGGCAGAGCCTCCAAACGTACCCATTGATGAAGAACAGTTGATATCTCTCATTTACAAGCATCCATGAGCTCTGTCTTATGCCTCTGACTCTGTGTCGCCAACAGTGCACGACAACTTCTTCTATCTCCCAATCATCATCCCTATCATCGTTTCGTTCATTGTCATCATCGGAATAACAGCGCTCATAGTGGTCAACAAGAAGAGGTACGTGTCCATCTTCTCCGTTACTGTGTTCCCTGTGCAGCCGCACTGTAGTGGAGTTCATGCTTAAATAGTGCTGAACGAAGTTCCCCATTGTGGCGTTAACTGTTAGACTTCTATGGAAATGGTAGACGGTTGTTCGGTGTTAATGTGAGGTCACTATTGTGCCTCGTGCAGGAATAGTGACCGCCTGGGGAATGGGGTTCTGTACGCCTCTGTCAATCCTGAGTACTTAAGTGCTGCTGAAAGTGAGTACCACCCGAGTCGCAGTTACCGTCAAATGGCTGAGGATTTGCTGTGGACAGGTGAGTGTCCTACACGTGCTCAGTAAGCACTTTCTGCTGCCCCCAGTGTACGTACCAGATGAGTGGGAGGTGGCACGTGAGAAGATCACTCTGTGCCGAGAGCTAGGCCAGGGCTCCTTCGGCATGGTGTACGAGGGCGTGGCCAAGGGCGTGGTCAAGGGCGAGGCTGAGACGCGCGTGGCCATCAAGACGGTCAACGAGTCAGCCAGCATGCGCGAGCGCATCGAGTTCCTCAACGAGGCGTCCGTCATGAAGGAGTTCAACTGCCACCACGTGGTGAGAGAGGGTGCTGGATGAGCGGCTGCTTGTTTTACCGCTGCTCTACCACAAACTGCACCAAATACACAGGCGTGATTGGTGACCTTTTGCTATTAAATTAATTTTAATTATTTACTTTAATTTGAATAATTATCCACTTGTCTCAACTGCTTATTTTCATGCTGTTTAATACAGCTTTGGAATTCTTGACTGTCTCTTCCATGTAAGAGCAGTGATTTTAAAATGTGTACATGTCAGTGTGTGTCTGACCTCAGTTGTGATTGGTTCATTTCACCCCCAGGTACGTCTTCTGGGTGTGGTCTCTCAGGGCCAACCTACATTGGTGATTATGGAGCTGATGACCCGTGGAGACCTGAAAAGCCATCTGCGGTCCCTCCGATCCAAAGAGGTTAACACCTGCGCCCGACACCCTTACACTCCGCGAACTTGGGCAATTCTAAGCGAATAGAAATGATAAACCCCGGCTCACTTCCTGCGTCCAATAGAATTCCTGCAGCGATACCTTACCCCCCCTGAAGAAGATGATCCAGATGGCGGGGGAGATCGCGGATGGCATGGCCTACCTCAACGCCAACAAGTTCGTCCACAGAGACCTGGCTGCCCGGAACTGCATGGTGGCCGAGGATTTCACTGTGAAGATTGGAGGTACCATTCTTAGGCTTGGCTCTCTCCCCAGTTTAAATCTGTACCTTGTCTGGGCTAAAACAACATGAAACGAGAACTTACTGTTAGTTAATTGTCTGTCAATGATGGCCACCATTTACTCAGGATGAGCTGCTAAGTAAACATGCTTGAGTTTCCACGTTTTCTTTCTGGTATCTCTTGAATTCTACATAACCGCTGTTCTATCAGTTAAAGATTAGCTCATGGCAGTTTTACTTGCACAAAAATGTACTGAGGGCAGAAGGAAAAATGATCAGATTGCAGAGGATGTGGGTGCAAGTAACTAGAGGAGTCAGGACCAAGGAATCTGATTGGTTGGTCCCACCACCTCTAGTTGCTGTGCAATCTGATTGGTTATCTCTCTGAACCAGTAATTTTTCCTTCTGCCCTCAGAACATTTTTGTGTAAGCAAAACTCCCATGTACTAAAGATTGTGGCTGAGATTCGTATTGTCAAGTCGACGGCTCCCTCCCCGTCTTCAGATTCTTGACCTATGTCTCACGGCTCACTTGTGCCCTTCCTCCAGATTTCGGAATGACGAGGGACATTTATGAGACGGATTACTACCGCAAAGGGGGCAAAGGGCTTCTGCCGGTGCGCTGGATGTCCCCGGAGTCCCTCAAAGATGGCGTGTTCACCACCAACTCTGATGTCTGGTATGTGTTTTCCTGCCTGCCTCTGTCTGACATGAACCGTGCATTCGTTTTCCCCAGAAGTCGCGACGACGTGTTATTGGAACACCCTGGACCAAAGCTACAGCTTACTGAGAACCTCCGAAGTATTTGGGGTTGGAGGTGAAAAATGCTGGTGCTTCATTAATCAGCCGGCGAAGAGTTTTAAAATGTTTTTCTGGGTGGCAACTTCAGGTCTTGAGAGGCAAATCTAAACAACTTTTACAGAATCAACTTCTCAGGTCTCCTCCTAGGGCATCTTGAGTTAACCTGTAGTGAAGCAAGCTCACCGTCATTAGAGAAGTTCTAAGAGACCCTTGGTTCATGCTTCTGTAATTGATTGTCCCAGGGGTGGTTCTTCAGCATTTTCCTCCTCCAGACGTTTATAAAACTGCACCTTGCCAGAAAATATCACCTTAACCCAACCTCCCTCTCCTTTGATGGTACAGAAATTTAAAAGAACGATGTGTAAGCACACATCGTTCTTTTAAATTTCTGTACCATCAAAGGAGAGGGAGGTAGGGTTAAGGTGATATTTTCTGGCAAGGTGCATTGTATCCCTGTTGAGGTGACCGCCTTTAAACTCCACCAATTAAAACAATAGTCTTCATGTGGTTTTGTCTTCAAAGGCGCCGATGTTTCTGCCAATTAGATACAAGTCCCTGTTATGAGTTTTACTTGGCTGTTGTCTCAGATCGGCTGCCAAGTGTGAAGATGTGTCCGTGGAGACCAGATGAATAATCATTGGCAGAAGTTTGGCTTTTTTTCTGTTTTGTTTTGATTAGTGGTTCTTTGTCCCTCTGGTGCTCACATGACTGAAGGTAATCTGCATTAATGTGAAACGCATGTTTGCTTGCGTCCTTGGTTCATATGTCGCATTTGTCGCTGTTTACTAGGGTGGGTGGTTTCTCAGGCAGCCTTGGTGTCATCATTATCAGCTTTTTTTCTCTAGGTGCGGGCAAGGATCTTCCTGTTCTCAGACTTTAAGTGCAATCCCCATCGTTAAGCTGACTGGGCTGCGCTCAGGGTAACGGAGTATTCAGACCAGTGCTGAATTGGTGATATATTTCAAGATGGTTCGATACCTCTGCCCAGATGTAAGGTACATTTATTATTTCCTTTAGGGACATTTGCTCGTCGATTGAGTAGTACAGTACAGTGTGCTCAGACGAAAATGGGAATGACTGATTATAAAGTGATTTGAAATTAGCAGGCTGGTAAGGTCTGGCTTATTTGTTGATTCTTTGATGGGGTTGTGAGTAGACAGATGCGACCTTTGGGAGACACACGACAATCTGTCACAAGGCCACATAAACTACTCGGCTGCTGTTAAACTGTGTTTAAAGGAAGAGATTGTTACTCAGACTGGCATCGTGCCTGAGAAACGACAACCCGTAGACCCCCCCCCGCCCCCCGCAGCACGATGAATGTCCAGTCTCATCAAGCAGGGCTTGTTTATCTTGGGAATGGCACCCCATTGCATTACCCCCCCCCCATGGTAACTTCAGGAAGAATTTTCCTTTGGTCACAGTCCCAGTGATCATATTGTCTGTACCTCAGCCACAAGGTGAAGAAGACAGATATTTTTTTAATTGTTGAAGTAAACTTTTGAACTCTGAAGCTGAGAAATTACCTTGGGTTTTGCAGACAGGAATGCCCTCCTCCCCATGCAAGGAGGATGCACCAGTGATGCCCAGTTCCTGTGGAGTATCTCTGAGATTCGGGCCCTGTGTGAGGGAAGCTGAGAGTGTCTCTGCCTTTTCCTTCCACGAGTCTACTGCCTTCTCTCTAATCTGCCTTGCTTTTTGTAGGAACTGTTTCTTTCAGGAACTCCTTTAGCATCATCAGAACCGGCCGTCGTGTTTTCTAATTATACCGGGGCTCGTGACTGAGCTTGGGTGCCGTGTGAGGCCGGCGTGTTCGTCCTCGTGGACGCCGTGTGCTGATTGACGCTCCTGTCCTCTGGCTCCCTCTGCAGGTCGTTCGGGGTGGTGCTGTGGGAGATTGCCACCCTGGCAGAGCAGCCCTACCAGGGCATGTCCAACGAGCAGGTGCTGCGCTTCGTCATGGACGGGGGCCTGCTGGACAAGCCAGACAACTGCCCCGACATGCTGTGAGTGCCGCCTGCTTCCCCCATGCCTTTGCCACTTCCTTTGAAGGCCATGTTTACTTTGGAACCATCTCAGAGAAAATACTTTTTTTTTTTCTCTTCTCACCCTACACCACTGACCTGCTGACCCCCTAAACCCCCCGTCTCAGTTAGTGAGAGCTGTTAATACCATATCACAGGACCCGGTTACACAGGTTGCGTCAGTGATCGGTTGTGCTGTGGTGTAAATAAAGGTCATGACATCAGCACTCTGACAGCCCTCTGCCCATTGCCACAGAAGGGATGCCCTGCCCGCCACCCTGACCATGCCTGGCATTCCTGTAATCCCAGGGGGTGGACGAGGGGGCGGATCGCACCAGGCTCCACAGGACTCCCATTGGAACCGCTCTCCTGTTCATCCCAAGGCTGGGCTGGGGGCAGAGTGTCCGATCCTTTCGAGGATCCTCTGGGCGACCGTGGGCCCCATTGGCATGGCTGACTTTGCCATAAACGACAAGGAGTGCGTCGCGGAGACCCAGACCTTTGGTTCCTATTACAACCCCCCCCCCAGAAGTGCGTGGTCTGCGCGGGTTTGGTGTTTCGCCTCGTTTTTCCTGCAGCCCGTCTGCCGGACCTGCAGAGCAGGAGGTCAGCTGTGGATGTGGAGCTCTGTTTGCTGAGGCCAGGACAGCCCTCTGATGGGGTTTTGGGAGTAGCCTTTCTGAATGGGCTTAGCAGGCCCCCCGTTAGTGACGGACCGATAACCGGCCGAGATCTCCTCTGGCGTGTTGACGGCCGTGTGGCCCAGGTGACGCACGGGTGCGGGCAGGTGTCCAGACACCGCGATCATCGTCATGGGAGGCCAGCAGGCTGCTCGGAAGCAAACCTTACACTCAGTGCCGTCAAGGGAAGTGAGGTCTTCCCTTAAATGGAGGGTCTTTGGGCCCGCATGAGCAACACAGGGACCGCAGTGTTCATTTCACATGGATCCATGCCCCGTCTGAGCATCCTGAGCATGTGACAGTGACGTGACAACGGTTCGGCTGTCACTGCTGCCGCTGTTCCCACCTTTCTTGTCTTCGTCCTCATATTCTGGCCTGGTTCTGCTCTCTCTCTCTCTCGCTCTCTTTCTCTCTCTCGCTCTCTCTCGTAGTGTTTCTAGTTTCTCATTTTGTAATTATTCATGAAAAATAAAACGTCATCTGTATTCAAAGAATCAAAAATATGATTGTAAAAGCTTCTTAATATGTTGCAGCTTTTGTCATGGTGAGGACTGCCCCCTGTCTGTGTGAGAGTGTAATGACTTGTGGTCTGTGGCCATCTTTCAGTTTGGTCTCTAAAAATATTATTTAATTGGCAACGTTATAATCTGTCCAGAAGACACACACGCGCCGCCCTTTTCTAATCAGCACTCTTCCACCGTGTATCTGCTGCAGGTTCGAGTTGATGCGTATGTGCTGGCAGTACCACCCGAAGGCGAGGCCTTCCTTCCTGGAGATAATCAACGGCATCAAGGACGAGCTGGAGCCGCCCTTCAAGGAAGTCAGCTTCTACTACAGTGAGGAGAACAAGCCCCCAGACACAGAGGAGCTCGACATCGAGCCAGAGAACATGGAGAACGTGCCCCTGGATCCAGCGTCCAGTCGACGGCACGTGGTGGCAGCCAGCCAGGGACCCCCGGATTCCGGGCCAGGCGCTGTCTCCCGCTCTCCAGGACCTGCCCGCTCAGCCGGCCTGCCCTCGGACTCTCACTCAGGACACACGGTGGCCAACGGGCCTGTGGTGGTTCTGAGGCCCACTTTCGACGAGAAGCAGCCCTATGCGCACATGAATGGGGGGCGCAAAAACGAACGGGCTCTTCCCCTCCCGCAGTCCTCCGCCTGCTGACCCGGGCCGCCCCTAACACCCCTCCCCGTGCCTGTCCTCTGACCTTGGAAATGCAGAGCCCCCCCCCCCCCCAACCCCACACACACACACACCTGTTTCCATAGTCACTCGTCTTCCCTTAACAATGGAGAACTATGGGGAGGTGGACCTTCGAATTAAAAATAAGAAACGAGTCAGTTCAAGACAGTCAATACTCTACTGTACCTCAGTGGATTGTTTTCATGTTTTATTATACTATTATTATTACTGTTATTGTTGATAAAGAGAAACCTGCTGTCACTGCAGAAGGGGAGATGGGCATGCTGGGTGCCCCCTCCCTCTCCCTCCCCCATCTGCGGGACCCTTTTGTACAATGTCTGTCACTTTTTAAAAATTCCACTCGGATTAAAGCAGTCAGGCCGAATAGGCTGCCTTTCAGAGGGGTGACGTGGACAGTCAATAAAATGGACTGTTTAGCACAATGTTTCCCAATCCGGTCCTCGGGGACCCACAGACCGTGCCCGTTTTTTGCTGCCTCGCAGCTCCCGGCCTGTCTGGTAGGGAGTTTGGAGGGAGCAAAAAAACATGGAATGCCTGGGTGTCTGAGGACTAGATTGGGAAACACTGGTTTAGCATATCTGCCAGGGGATCCAACAGAAAAGCACTTTCTTTGTGGGTTTAGGGGAGGGGGTGTGTGTGTTTGTGTGTGTGTGTCTTTCTTTTTCCCTCCATAGGAGAATCTGTCTGCCGCGGACTGTCTGTCTTTCTCCACGCTCATTTGGAGGGACTTGTTCATTGTTGAAGATTGTGTGGTTGGAGGGGTAATACCTTTTCCCCCCTCTCCTTTGGTTCTGTGGTGCGCATGGGAGGGGAGACCCTCACAATCTGCCAAAATTCTGCCAAAATTCTCTCTGTCTACTAGTTTGTGACACTGGTTTTTCTGTATTTATTTTGTCCACCCCTCCTCCATTCTGTAAGTTTGTTTGGGCTCCAAATCACTTTTGTGTACAAATGCAACCGACGTAGGTTTCGCCCGGGTGATAATCGGGCGACTGTCTCCAACAGCCGTGATTTAAACAAAAAAATTTTGCCATGAGCAACAACAGGAGCGACACAGAGTGCTGTTCGAGGACCAAAAAGGGCTCGGTGTAAGGAGAATGAACAAGCAAACCAAGACGAAAGAGAGTAATGCAAAAAGAAACCATATGAACAAAAGCCTACAGATGGCTGGTCAAAAACAAACACAACCAGCCTTCTTTTGATGACTGTTTGTTTGGGCTTGTCTGCCTGGCCTGGTCTTTGTACAATCCAGACATGTACGGTCTTAGAATTGTGTGTTAGGGTTGTTAATGTGCGCAGTTTGTTTCTCCTTACTTTTCTAACTTTTTATTGGGTTACTCTTTTGTCTGTCTCAAAAAAAACGCTGCTAGACCTTTTCCCTCATTGGGAGTCTTCACACACTCGTGAACACGCAAACGCACACACACACACACACACACACACTCATCCACACTTTTCAGGTTTAGTCTCACAGTTTCCACCAAATGTGTATCATGATACATCATACTTCAGCAAAAAAAAAATAATCAGATTTCCTTCACTAAAAAGTGTATTTCCGCAGCGTCCAATGTCTCTTGTTTTTACAGATAACTGCAGTGGATCATAAATATGAGTGTTGTGTTTTTCCCCTCTCTGTATGCCTTAGCTCCCTACGTATGTGCATATACCGTTGACACTCCTCAGCACCTCCCGCTGGCCCTTTGACGGTACCCCAGTCTCAGGTCAGAGTAGGGCTTCGGACCCCCTGCCCCATTCGTTTCAGCCCTTTGCATCCAACCGTGATCCCCCAACATCTCTCGAAACCATACACTGTAGCGGTATGTTGCAGTGCCCTCTAGCGCTGCATTTTACAATCAGGATTAATTACGGAAATAGTCTAATTTTCACTACTGGTAAATCAATCTCTCCATTTATTTTATATTCAGTTTTCATTCAGGGCTAATTTTGAAACACAGATCTGCCTTTTTTATGCGACTCTTGCATTATCCCCCTCCAAAGATAGGCTCCAATCTGCTTCACCAACACACTTTGGTTTTTGACAGTAATGGGAAAAGTCTCTATACAAATGGTTCTAGTTGGGTTGGCAGCCGTTTTGCTTGGTACATTTTAGAGCATGTTAGCTTTGAACAGTTGCTGGCCCACGTCAACACTCAACAGACACATTACACATGAAGATGGGATAAAAATGCACTTCGGTCATGATGCAGAGTTGATCTGTGGGTTTTGGTTAATGCTCTTCCTTCATTGTACCTTTTTGTCAAATTTGAAGTTGACTTTTCTTTTGGTTCCCCAAAGGCTTGCCTTGTATAATTGATTGTTTTTGGTGGCTTCATCACTTGGTTAGGGGTCGTCTTTCTTTTTATTTTTTCTTTCCTTATAACATTAATCTACCTCACTCTTTTATGTATGTATGTAAGTATGTATGTGAAAAAGATGCATCTCACTTTTGTTATCAGCCTGATGTGGATAATTTATTATCCAAATCCGGGTAAAATTTGCTTCACAGACCACACACTTTACAGACTTGGGAGATGCTCAGCGCTGTCTTCAACCACCTCTCCACGGACAAGTTTGAATGTTAATATGTCGGTGTACCAGTGTGTGAGAGAGGCCAGCCGGTGGCCCAGGACCTAAGCGTTTTGCTCACTGGTGGACAGTTGGCTGTAAATGTCCACGTAAGAGAGCCTCCTCCCTTTGGTGCACATATCAGTCTCCACAACCGTAGGTCCTCTGATCTTTGCTGGCTATAACCATTTTGGTATAACTGTACTTTTTCCTGTTGCTGTTTTCAGATGAATTCAACAGACATCTGATAAAATGGGCTGATGAGTCTGTCTGAGTATTTGTGTGTTTCAGTGCTGCTGTGATGTTTGGTGGATAGAAGGCTGAGGGTTTGGTGTTTTGTAAGGCATAAGGTTCAGGAAACCATGACTGGGAGATGGAGAACTAGCCCTACCTGCTTCAAAACGTATTATCTGCAGCCCGCCGCTGGCCTGGGTGGACGTGTTGTCTGTGGCTTTCTGCCGTGTCACCAACACCATTGCGTCGGTGTTCTACCGACACTCTGGCCAGTAAACATACAAACGTCAGTCGTGCAAAGCATGCGCGGGTGCCCTCCACGCTTCGCCACACCCTAAGGCCATCAGCCTTGGTCACCTTGCTTCCTAATTCAGGCAGCTGACCTTCCTCCTTTTTCGCTGGAGATGTTGGGATGGCATGTAGTGTTGCTATGTTTCAAACCATTCCAGCTGCTGGTTCATTTTCCCCCAGTTAGATCGGTGGAGTTGTTATGCATCGGCTCAGGGCTACAGGCCTCGACCATGAGGGCGGCTGGGCTAGGCACAGTCGATGCCTGATAGCGCCACCTTCTGTTCTGCTGCTGATTACCTTGCTGCTTTAATAGGTACTTCGATACAAAGGCCGGGCGTGGCCTCTGTATCATTCAATGCTGGGGTGGTTTGGGTTGCTGTTGATGTGTCGGAAGGCCAAATATCCCAGACTGGAACCCGTAAAACACAGCTGCTTAGGGTGGGTTTAAGATGGAGGTGCATGGCAAGGGGATGCTGGAGCAGTGTGGAAGCGCTGAAGGTGCGAAATGCGGGCTTGCATTGGTTTGCTAGACAGGCGCATGGATGATGTGGTCCAAGGTAGGCACAAACCTGTTTGCTCAGACTAATTGTTCTTCACAAACGAGCTCCAGGGATTGTCTCAGGGCAGCATTGGAAAGATGGGTAACGCTGGAGAGGTTTGTGTGTGTGTGTGTGTGTGTGTGTGCGTGCCACCTTTCTCCCAAGGCTTTGTGCTTGTGTTGTGTGTACGTATGGGTGTGTCACGTTAGCTGTTAGTGTCGAATTTTAATGTCTTTAATTAAAAAAGAAAAGATATCAGTGCTATTTATTTTCTTTTTTTGTTTCATTTACAATGACACAAAGGACATAAGGGTAGGTCTGTTGTGAAGTGAATGTCAGTTTACATTGAATGCTGCCAGAGTTCCTTCATTTGACAAATTTAGTAAATATAAAATAAAAACTTTAAAAAAAAAAAAAATTAAAAAAAAGTAAAACTCATGCATACACACCAACACAGAGGACAGCAATGTCTAGTAGATTACGGGTAGTCATATGACAGAAAAAAATGGTCATGAAATTTAAAAAGTTTACAAAGCATTTTGGAATTTTTTTAGGTTTAAAGTAGTAGTAGTTGAGTTGCCAGTTCTTTGTAATATTCAAAGTGGATTGAATCAGTTTATCATTGTTACCATCTAGTCTGATTTTCTTTATAACATGGTATATGCAAACCTCAGGTTTAGGGAAGTATAATGCATAAAATTGCAATAATGACCTTGAGGTTGATAGATTTATTTTCCAGGCACTGTTTTTCTCTCCTGCTTGGCATTCCTCTATGCTTTTAAAAAGGGGCCTTGATCTACCCAGACCTTTACTTTCATTTCAGTGTTTCCTTTCTCCTGTACAAATACTTTGGCTTTGTTACCATTAAATTCAAATTATTGTTTTCATTTTGGCAAGTACTGTGTATTCTGAAAAGGTTTGTGTTCCTGATTTTTCTCCTAGTTCAAATGGAATCAACTATATACATATATATATATATATATATATATATATATATATAGTTATTACACGCACACACACTTGTATAATCTGAGTTAATGGGTAATATGAGAATTTAGTGGATATGCTGTTCTTACGTTTTGATTCTCTAATAAAATCTAGGAGTCAGTGAATATGGAAATTTTTCAGGCACCTATCTATAGTTGAGGTTCACTGGTGATTTAAGCAAGTAACAATGGACTTCTCCGGTTATCTATAATATGTCTGGTTTTTCTTTGGGGTCCATTGGAGTTTTACAGTAACTGCTGATCACTAATTTACGTGGATAACTAAGACGCCAAGGTGTCTGTAAAAAGGCACGTTATTGTATATAGGCCTACTGTTTTGTTGAAATTGCGTTCGCTCATTGAGTGTCGAACTGGGTTTGGAAAATCGAGGACCCCAGTGGTGAAATTGAGGAAGTGACCTGGCGTTTAATTGCGATCGATTAATCGAGATGCACTGACATTTTAAGATCTATGGGTGAATAGATTTTTTTCACGGTTACATGTGAATGCTTACCCTGTTTAGTAAACTCTAAGCAACTCACAATTAAGCAAACCTTCTGAAGAAGACCAAGTATCTACTGTGCACCGCGTTTGCTACATCCATTTCCCACGGACTCGGGCCGGTCAAATTTAAAAGCAACACAGACGGTCGATATGGTTTCGCTTCATAGCATTTTCCCCAGGAGTGGTAATTTCCAGTTCTGGAGGTGACCATGCTTATACTATAGCTCAGATTGGGTCATTCGGTGGATTTCTAATGAATCGCGTTCATCGGATTGTGAGTTAAAAAGCTGCAGTTAGCTTGATCGTTAAATGAAAAGTTTGTTCTCCCAAAGATTTTTTTGACAGTAGTACTATTAAATCATGGAAAATGTATCAATGGGTTTTACCTATTTGGTTAAATTTCATGATTATTTTGTGACGAAGATTCAAACATTTTTCATGGCTATTTGCCTCAGTTTACCACTGGAAAGGATTGCATAACTGATATGAAAATCATACTTTGTTTTTCTTTACCTTCTTAAAAACAATGGCCCAGAATTTTGCTATGTGAATTATTCATACATTTCCTGTGTTTATATTAAAATTATTCAGTAGATTGAAGAGATTTCATATTTGTATATTCTGTTGTAAGAATTTATTCCTGTTATCTATATATTCTGAATTCTTAACAATACGGGGAAATAAACTGTATATTTTGAATGTTTCAAGCGGGGGAGAATTTTAGTTTCCCTAATTCTTGCTTTTTCTATTAGTAGGCCCAATTTTGTAACTTGTCAAATAGTTCTACGTGACATGCGATTCTGTATTTTGTTGGATTGGTTTAGTTCAAGGGTATGAACCACTTAAACGTGAAGTAATATATCGTTTCAACATAAAAAAAAAGAGTAAGCAGCTTAAAACGCAAATTAACAATTATGTCGAGTAAGAGCCAGATAACGCATCTATACTAAATAGTAAGTGAAAAGAGCCGGACATAATTCAGTAAGCCTTTTAAATTATGGAGGAATGGACTATTTTGAAAAGGAAATGGCAAGACCAGGCAATCCTATGGCGCTCCCTGATTTCATTTTCTCTCGGGCAATGAGCGCCCCCTATCACCACCGGCGCTGATGGGCTTGGACCTAGCATGTTTCAGTATAACGAAGCGGATCCAATAGTAAGTCATTATGACCATCGAATTCTGTAACCCTAGCGGCGCTGCCGCACATGTTCGCGAGGTTCTCGTCCACGTGCACGAGCACTCTACGCGTTTTACGCAACGCAATTAACTGCGTATTTTTGCAAAATATGTAGGAGGGTACGAGAGTGGGTATTTGAGCTCCGAAACACGTCGGCAGTGCTGTGTCTAATTTCCTCGTTTATTCGGAAGAAAGGAAAATGCAGTATTTTATTTTATTTTGTTTTTATTTGTTTTTGATTTTATCTCCGCTTTACAATGCCTGTAAGGGAAATTTCAGACGTAACTGAAAATCAACGCGATAGTTCTGCTTCTCAGTTTCATCATGATACTTTAGGCTACTTAACTGCTGTCTCATATTCTGATACTTACACAACTCTTACCAAATCGGCTGATGCGACCAATTTTGTGATGCACCATATATTGTATTGTAGTGCACTACATTTACTGTCACAATTTAAAATAGCGTCGCGACTCGTCTCGTATAATACGTGATCGTCTCGTACTGGAACTGGAATAGAATGCTCTTTACCGTATTATACTGGACCATCCCGTGTTAAAACGTACGCGTGGCAAGCCTATTTTCAAGTGTCAGTAAATGTAAGAATGCTGGATATAATAAGACGACAGCTGTCTGAATTGTGTAAACACAATGAACATGTCTTTTTAAATACCCACTTAGCACATTGTTGCTTGTTCAGTATCCACACTTCCTTCACAAAATCTGATGACAGCGGTGTTAGTCACCCCTTTGACAGAGAGAACCTGAACACCCAAGATATTAAATCTTTCCAGGACTACAATTTCTATTTATGGCGATGCACCTGAAATGTTTTTGATTGCCAAGTTATACTGGAAGGGGTGAGGAGCTCAAAACTGGCATGCTGCACAGCTGTAGGACTTCTTGGGGTTCAGCCATTGAACACACTTCATATGGTACCACCGGTCACGCACGTCTCACTGGATCTGTAACATCAAAGGTCATAACAATGCAGCAACATTTTAGCTGTGATTTACACCACAGTTTTACTCAGTTTTATAAAAATCTATTAATGCAATCAAGAAACTGCCAAAATGCGAAAAGCCTTGTGTTTTACTTATGGGTTACTTACAGTATGTATAAGGTTAGGGCTGGGTAGGCTTTACGGTTGTCATTGTTGTGCAGCATGTCAGTTTGGAGCTCCTCTCCCCTTCCAGTATAACTTGAGCATACTGGCGTTAGATATCCTATATCAAAAAAGGCATAAATACTGAGAAATAATTTTTGCATGTTTTTTAATTAAGTCAGTTGTTAAATTTATTAAAGTTTTGGTTACTGTAATGTATTGGACTGTATTAGACACGTGACTACTTGTGTATGTTGAATTCACACTTTCATTCTATGGAGGCAATGCTGTAGAATCATAATTATATCTATGTTTCAAATAATTTATCAATTTCCATAGGAGCATTTCTTACACAGTAACAGAAAAATAAGCCTTATGGTTACGATCAAGCATAGACCATGACAAAAAGGATTCATGACCAAAAACAGTGGAAACTTTACTGTAGATGAACCATGGCACAGGGGTCATAATATTAGATAGCAGCCGTCAGATTTTGTGACCCAAAAGACACTGGGGAAAAATCAGGGACTCTGCAGTCAAAAACATTTTATGTCACTTGTCTTCATTGTACATGATAATAAGAGAGAGATTTCATGACTGGGTTGCACCGTCCACCTTCAGTAGATGAGTCACAATATTTGATAGCAGCCACCAAATCTTGTGGCCCGAAAGTAACTAGGGAAAAACAAGGACTTGGCAATCAAAAACACTTCAGGTGCATCGCCATAAATATGAAATCTTTCCAGGATTACAATTTCTATCTTGGGTGTTCAGGTTCTCTCTGTCAAAGGGGTGACTAATTAACACCGCTCTCATCAGATTTTGTGACCCAAGTGTGGATACTGAACAAGCAACAATGTGCTAAGTGGGTTTTTAAAAAGACATGTTCATCGTGTTTACACAATTCAGACAGATGTCGTCTTATTATATCCAGCATTCTTACATTTACTGACACTTGAAAATAGGCTTGCCACGCGTCCATTTTAATACGGGATGGTCCAGTATAATACGGTAAAGAGCATTTTATTCCAGTTCCAGTACGAGAGGAGTCGCGACGCTATTTTAAATTGTGACAGTAAATGTAGTGCACTACAATACAATATATGGTGCGTCACAAAATTGGTCGCATCAGCCGATTTGGTAAGAGCTGTGTAAGTATCAGAATGTGAGTCAGCAGTTAAGTAGCCTGAAGTATCATGATGAAACTGAGAAGCAGAACTATCGCGTTGATTTTCACAGTTATGTCTGAAATTACTTACAGGCATTATAAAGTGGAGATGAAATAAAAATAAAATTTAAATACTTTAATTTTTACTTTCCCCCGAATAGACGAGGAAATTAGACACAGCACTGCCGACGTGTTTCGGAGCTCAAACACCCACTCTGGTAGCGTCCTACATATTTCGCATGAACACGCAGTTAAATGGCGTTGCGTAAAGTGCTCGTGCACGTGGACGTGAACCTCGCGAACATGTGCGGCAGCGCCTCTAGGGTCGCAGTATTCGGTGTAACACCTGTTACAAGGGGGTACGCAAGGCAGGGAATAGCCCAGGACGCCAGCGCAATCGCAGGTCCCTCGTGACATTCACACCTGCTAACGATTTGGTGATTCCAATGCAGCTTAGCATGTTTTTGGATGGGGGTGGGGGGCAAAGAGAAACTGCGACGATGATGCAGGGAAAATCGTGCAAACTTTACACACGGAAATCTAAACTCTATTCTACAGAAGTGTGCGGCGACTGTGCGAACCACAGCACCACTGCCGCTGCTTTTAAGGGAACATCCAATCAAAATTCTGGATCATTGTATTTTAAAAAGTTCGTTTCACTTTTTGCATGTACAAGTTCTACACAAACTCGATGTACGGGACGCCGTGGTCATGAGTTACTACTGCAGTTCTGTTTTACTGTATGGATTAGTTCTGCCCAGTTTATCCCTCGACGTACAATTAGGGGAGACCGAGGCTGTTTGGCACAGTTTTCATTCAGACACATCGCTAACATTATGATCACTTAGCTACTTGCACATTAATCCTTAATATCTGAGCTAAAAATCGCACGGATTGGATTACTGGAAAACAGTTACTGCAAATAGTTCATTCTATCATAAAAACATGTTTTGCACTTGAGCCAACCAGCCCCGACACAGGATTGGTTGGCACAATATTATTATTCAATGAATTTTGTAAGAATAGCATCATACAAAAACACCCAGAACTTTTGCTTTAATGCAAAGTAAAACCAAACGTGCGATGTCAGTAAAGTATTCTTCTGAATCTGTAAAACACTCCAATCAATGTAAACAGTGTCTAATAAACTAATACGAACACTAATGAAACATCTTGGGCACTAAACATTTTAAATGCGTCATCTTCGTACTTCTCCAAGTAATTATTAAAATAACTTGTTTTTAATTATTGAACAAAAAACTATTAAAATACTGTGTACGCCTATTATGTGCCAACCAATGCCAACTGCACTCTATATGCACCGATTCCAAGTTGGCTTGATTTACCTCACATCTATTTGGTACAATACAAACAATTCAAGTGATTTCAAACAATTTAATTTTTTACAATTATTTTTTCAATATTTCTGTCAAATATATATAAAATTAGACATTTTTCCATGAGGTCATTTTTTTATTTTATTAACAAAAACAGCAAAACACCTGAGCAGTGTGCAGACTAGCGATCTCTTGACAAGATGTATGAATGTAGTCGATGTGGACACATCTTACAGCCTAATGTTGGATTTTTGCGTAAGGTGCCTCTAATCTCTTGGAAATTATTACTGTACCAACCAACACCGCTCTCCCTAACCCTAAATACGAGGCAGGATTTTCCAGCATTTAAGAGCAGGTTTATCTACTGCAATGGAATGTACAGCTAGGCGTAATATTTTCTAGAATAGAAATGTTTAACAGGCCTATTAAAATCCAAACGTAAAGAAATCCGAACATTTTAAGGCAATAATTATTAGAAGTAACGTAGCGTTGCTTGAATTTCCTCCTTTTGGATTTTTGGACTTTATATATGATATGATTATTTAGTTTTCTTCTATCACTGCTCGAAATGAAATCGGTCATAGAAGAATATAGATAACATTTCAATCAGTGAACAAATTGTTGAGTAACCATTCGTTCTTGTTTCAGTCGTTGTCCACCAGGGGACGCTATTCCATTGGAAAAACTGGTACATTAAAACGATGCTGGACATATTACCCGCCTACTCCTCTCCGTGTGCTGCACTTGTCTATGTTGCCGCATCTCAGACGAAACTCCAAGCGACACGTAACGACTCGGCATCGTCCAAGAGGAACACACAGCATCCAAAAGTTACACGATAGATAACGCAGAACTAACAATGTTACAGTTCAGGAGAACGTTTGAGAATGAAAAAGTCCAGCTGCAGGAATTAAACCGCAGACTAAGTCACTACCTGTCCAGAGTGAAACATCTGGAACAAGAAAACGCCTGTCTGGTAAAAGAAATAAGCGTGGTTAGAAATGAGAGAACTTTCGAGTGGGAAGATCAGTACTTGGCCGAACTGCGGGAACTTCGGACAACGGTGGACCAGCTAGCTTTTGAGAAGTCTAAAGCCGAGGTAGAACGAGAGAGGCTGCGACGAGAGTTTCAGACGGTTCAGACGCTGCTCTTCGAGGAGTCGGGAATGTGCCGTGACATCGATGGGGAGCTGAAAGCCTGCAAGGTGCAATTTCAGCAAGCGCAGGCGAAGAACGCCGACCTGGAGGACTTTTTGTTCCAGCTGGAAAACGAAAGCAGGCTTCTACAAGAAGAACACAGACGAGAAATCTCCCATGTCAAGAACACCATTTACTCCAGAGCACTGTCCAATGTCACCCAGACGTACCGAGCTGTTCCGCCGATCACGGTGGAAGAGGTGGAGCAGTGCGCGCTCAGCATGTCGGATAACTGTATGGAGATGTTCGAGGTGTACCGAAAAAGGGTTGAAGACCTGGAGGAGTCCCTCAGGGCGGACGAGGCTAAGGTGGAGGATTTGCGCAGAGAGAAAAACCAGTATGCCACCGACTTTGAGAAGCTACGCTATGAGCTTGAGGAGCAAAACAGACTGCAGGTGCACCTTGAGGGACAGCTGAAGAACACGCAGGACAAGTACAGGGGGGAGCTCGACCATTACCAGGTAGGCGCATGCAAGAATACCTTCGTCTCAGTTCAGGGTCTGGTGAGATTTTCTTATTTTAATAATGGGTAGTAATAATAATAATAATAAGTAGTAATAATAATAACAACATTATTATCACGATTTTATTATTATTATCATCATCATCATCATCGTCAAGGGAGAATAGAATATAATAGTCCTGCTCGTTGATAATGAGCTCCACAGCCAGATCGCAAAATATCAACCTGCCTTCATCTTATCTATCTAAATCGGGATAACTAAACAGTCTTGTCTGTCTTGTCACTATGGTGTGATATTTTGTCAATTCAGTATGTTACTGTATCATTTCATTCCAGATTTTTTAAACCGCTTCCAGACATGCATTTCAGATCAATTTGGTTTCCGCAGTATTTTCCTCAGTATGTCATTTGTTTCCCAATAGTCATTCAGTCTCATGTTTAAACACCTGGTGGGGTGGGGGGGTTGCATGGCACAGCACAGATCAACTTCCTAGAAAAAGCAGTATGACACTGCATTCTGAGCTCATAAGCTTATTAAGAAATATTGCAGATGAGCACAGGGGAAATGGCTTCTCGTGGTGAGGAACCACATTGAGTGCACTGTCAATCACTGTGTGATCGCAAACCAGGCACTAACTGACAATGCTGGAACTGTCAAATTCTGCCCTGAGTGATTTCATGGGTTCTGGCTGTGTGGTGTGTTAAGTCCATTCCAAAGCACTAAACATATGCGGTGTGTTAAGCCACTGTGCTGTGTTTATGTTCATAAAACCACGTTTATGGTCAACACTCACCTGGTGGTTCATTTTGTTCTCCAGATGATTGTAGAGGATCTGGAGCAGGAGCGGATGTTTCTGACCAGCGCCATTGCAGACAAGCTTAAGGAACATCAGGATCTCATGCAGGTTAAGATGGGCCTCAGCCTAGAGTTGGCTGCTTACAGGTACGATGTCCCGCATAGAACCCCCACCTACCAGCTGAGATACACTGTCAGAAAAAAGGGTGCCAGTTTGTACCTTTGCTTGTCACTGGGGCTGTACCCTCAGGAGTCTGCCAGTTGTACCCTAGCAGTAGGCAAATGTACCTTTTAGTCTAATTTAAGGTCTCTGAACATCCTCAAGGTACAAACAACATTAATGTACCCCCGATGGTTCAAAAATGTTCCTCATAGTTCATTTCTGTATCTTTAAAGGTACATTTACCTACAGCTATAGGGTACGATAGACAGTCCATCCATCCATACATCCATCCATTCAATACAGGTTTATAGTTAATTTGGAGCCTCTCCAAGGAAGCACAGGGTTCAAGGTTGGGGATACCTTGGGGTGGGAATCAACCTCATAACCCTCTGAGAGGCCACAGTGCAGCCCGCTCAGCCACCTTAAATCTTGTTTCTATTACAGTACAATTGTAAAGGGCTTATTTAGAATTTTTTATATTTTATGAATCAGAGGACCTAGCATGAATGTCTATGGCTATAATAGTGGTTTTCAAATTGTGGGTTGTGAACCCATTGGGGGGGTCGCCAAGTAATTTGGAGGGCTTGTGAGGTGATTTTCTGGACATGCCAAAAAAGCTTTATTATCATTTTTAGTCCTCCCCTCCGCCAGCTTGGCAAATTTTATCAACAGTGAATATTATCATGGGGGACCCCGGCGGACCTTGGCTTCCTGTCACTGATGGAATTCGGACCTTGGGGAAAAATAGTCGAGTATCCCTGAAATAGAGCGTCTGCTGTTAAATCAGTGGTTTGTGACAGAAAGTGGTCACGACACTTGGCCAATGTTTTTTGGAGAGTCTCCAGATAAAAGGTTAAGGATCCACTAGCCTGTAACGTGCATCGGGGGCCTCTGTGTAAATATCGGCTTGATCAAGTCTTGTTGTACTTCGTGAAATATCTTTATATCTGGTGAACCTACAAATAGCAGAGCCCACTACAGCCCACTAATAGAAGGGACTTGTAAATTAACTACATTTTAAAATTAAATGTGCCTCTACAAGCCAGGTGCTGCATGTCTGTTATAAACTAATGAGGGAAGCTCCTGGAAGTGGGCCACCAACAGCAGGGCTAAACTGACAGTGATGTAATGTACAAATGTAATCGCCGTGGTAACACTAAACTGGTGCCCTGCAGCGGCAGGCTCCGCCCAGCTATGACCAAAGCGCAACATCACACTGAATGAGCTGGGGATTTTCACAAGAGATTCCGCTGGGTGAATCCCATAGCTTGGCACTGTAGGAAATCAAAAAATAATAATATTTGAGGGGCAACTTTTACCCCCACTGTTTAAAGAATGGGGGCATTTGCAAAACTTTGGGCGCCCTTTTTAAAAATGGTAATTACTGCATAACGTTTCTGTTTTAATGTGAAATGAGCCCAGATTCAAATGCGTACTGAAATTACCACCCTGTGCCAATATGAGTAAATATAAAGCAGACTTTTGCTGCTCCAAAGAGAAGTGCATAATCATCAGTATCGAACGCCGTCTGTATGTGTGAGAGAATGTAGGAGACGGTTCTAACAAGTTAGGCTTTTATTTAGCTCTCAATAATAAATTATAATTATAAATACTACTAATATATAACGCTGTATAATGCGTTAGTTTGTAGGTAAAGTAAAAACTCCAAATGAACTAGTTTACATTATTTTTTAAAACATCCTCTTTAGAAACTGTTGAAGGTCTATTGAAAATATTTGGGAAATAAAAAGAAGTGTTTTGAACTGTACGTTGAAGCTGGTCTCTTCAACAAAATAAAACAAATATTGAGAATTATGATATTTTTAACCTGTGAGCCATTCAGCAATGTTTTAAAATGAAATGAAACAAATTCCAATTATTCTTTGCCTCCATCAACTACCCTGTGAGACGATAACTGAACGGTTTGATTTTGGCTGTGAATTCTGGGAGTCTAATGTCACAACCAATAGGGAATACTCTTGGTTTTAACACACAATAAAATAAAAATTAAAAAACCAGCCATAGCCACATCCCTAGCAGAGATCAGTCTGTTTGTCTTTGGCCTCTGCCTGGTATTGTAACTGTGTAGTAGTAGTAGTACTCAGTTTCAGGTACATGTTAAATGAAGTTATGTACATACATAGTGTGAACAACAGTGTTGTTTGAATGTGTGTGTGTGTGTGTGTGGTGTGGGGGGGGCAATCAAACAACTAAAAATGCCAAAAGTCTCGTATTTGTTTGGTTCCTCATGGCTAAAGTTAAGGCTGCGTAGGGAAATGAATGGAGAGTCCCCACAAAGATATAATTACAAACCTCTATGTGTGTGTGTGTGTGTGTGTGTGTGTGTGTGTGTGTTTTTCTTCAAAATCTTGGAGGCAATTTTTGCCCGTCGATCATGGTCTTTAGGGCTATTCTGAGATTTCTTGGGGCATTTTTGCCTTTTGCCCCCATTAATTTCTGACGCTGGTTGTGCGTGTAGCACAGTTTATGAAATTCATACTCTGTGTTCCTGCTCTGAAGTTGTAATATTAAACACACTGCTCCATTTGCTTCTCTTGCGAAGCACTTAATTGTGTTTCTTTTATGTTCTTGGCTCTGCTTTTCTAATTAAAACTAAGAAATATGTGGGATTTATGTATTGTGTGGTTTTTGCAGTATTACGCAGTATAAAAACGTATGAACTGCCCTCATCAGTGGTGTAGTTCCTGCACTAACTCTTGGAGAGAGACTGAAATGCTCATTTTGCTTGATCACTGTGAAGTACATGAATATACGTGACAGTGATCAGTGATATTGGCAGATGTATGTCTTGGCATAGCTGGTGGGGCTCTAATGGGTATGCTGGCCAGTTTGGTGCCGAACGAGGGCTTGGAAATTTGAAATCCAGTAAATGCTGTTACACAATCGATCTGGCTGGCTTGATAGGCATTACATCACTGATTCTTTCCCTGTAGTTAAGTAAATAATTTATACAAATACATGGGGTGGACAGAGTAATGGAGACACTTAATATAATAACATCAAGGAGCAGCCCATGCTTTGCCTTCTGAACCGCGCGTAGGGGGATATTGGCTCATTTTTAAACAAGAGAAGCTTCCAGTCTTTGAAGGATGAAGATCTACATGGAGATCTACTTCATTCTCTGAGCTCCAGAACTTCCCACAAACAGTCAATAATGTTTAAATCTGGTGGTTGGGGAGGTCAGGGAAGGCATTTAACTAGATCCTGTTGTTCTTGAAACCATGGATTTCTTTAACTGAGTGTAGTTGATGCAGTCTGTCCATAATTGCTGTATCTGGCCTTCCTTATCAAGCTTGTTTGCAGCACCTCTATACTCTTCACATACGTTCTAGTTCTGCCCCTCTGGTGTAATTACATAGCACTACTATTTCTTGACCATTAACATGAATGTCTTCTACTCCTTACAGGGCACTACTGGAAGGAGAGCAACGAGATGCATATCTCTCGGCAGGCCGGTATTTAAGAGAAGCACCAAGACGAATAGGTATCATTTGTTGTTCTCAAAATCAAGTAATCCTGACAATTGTGTTTTTTCTGCCTTGTTCGTCTGATACTGATATGCATTATGTTCTGACATTCTCCAAGGCTCTTCCATAGTCAGACAAGACAGAAGACCACCTGTAAACACAGGTTTTGAAACCAGATACATCGAACAAGTGAGAAGTTCAAAAACTTCCCCTGGCATCAGTCATTTCAGATCCTATGAAGGCCCTGGTGCAACCATTGGGCGAGCATCAAGCAGAAGAGACATCATGTTATGCAGCAAAACACCACAAGTACCCATAATTGCTGTAAGGCCAGTGACGACGTTACAGAAATGTGATCTGAAAACTGAAATAGCGGAAGAAGTAATGGTGCAAAAGAAAGATGTCTCTCAGCACTCTGTGAATCATCAGCAGTCCGTAAAGGATTTCAGTCCTCTTCCCTCACCAACATCAGATCAGAGGGAAATAGACCGGGAAGAAGCAAATAAAACGTGTGTGAGAGTTGTGTCCCCTCCAATGATGAGTTTAATTACAATGTCAGAAAAAGAAGGCGGGGAGGATGCCGGAGACGTTAAGGCTGATGAGAGTGAGGACAGAAAGGAAGCTGATTACAATGTCATTCTGGAGCAAGGAAAGATTGACGAGGAGGAGGAAGTGGAAGGTGCTCTGACACTAGAGGAGGTCACAATAACGACCCAGGATGATTTTTCAGATGATTCACAAATTAAAGAGGAGGAGGAGAGTAAGAGGATTGATCCAGCTGAGGAGCAGGAGGAAGGGGAAGGTTCTCAGAAGGAGGAGGTCACAGTAATAACCCAGGAAGAATTTTCAGATGACTCACAAATTAAAGAGGAGAAGGAGAGTAAGAGGATTGATCCAGCTGAGGAGCAGGAGGAAGGGGAAGGTTCTCAGAAGGAGGAGGTCACAGTAATAACCCAAGAAGAATTTTCAGATGACTCACAAATTAAAGAGGAGAAGGAGAGTAAGAGGATTGATCCAGCTGAGGAGCAGGAGGAAGGGGAAGGTTCTCAGAAGGAGGAGGTCACAGAAATAACACAGGAAGAATTTTCGGATGACTCACAAATTAAAGAGGAGATGGAGAGTAAGAGGATTGATCCAGCTGAGGAGAAGACCATTGCAACGGTAAGCCTGGAAGAAATTATTGAAAAGGTTATAAAGCCTGCTGGTCTGGATGCACATCTTAGTTCATCACCAGACTCAAAGATCACTTATCATGTTGAGAAAACAGAAGCAGAGAATGGCAAAACCCAGATAATACTAGAGTCAAAGATAGAGGAGGATCTGGATGTATCTGATGAGGCTTTGGAAGAGCTCCTCAGCAAAGAAGTTAAAAAAGTCACTCTAGAGGATGTCAAAGGAACTGCTGCTGGAAGCATGATTGAAAACTTGCTTTCTTTTGGGCTAGCAAAAGGCGAGAACTTGGAAAAGCTGTCAGTAAATGTTGAAATAATTGAGGAGCCGCTGGAAGCACACAGCAAGGAGGACAGCAAAGTCACTCCAACAACAGCATTCTTTCAGTCTTCTTCAAAATGTATCCAAATTGAAGAGTTGGAGAATGACCCTCCACCGCCTGAACATTATGACAGTGGTGTTGAAGAATTAAAGACTTCAATGATAGCCAAAGAATATGGAACAGGAGAATCAGCGGAAGTGCAAGAGGGTTTGAAAGTTACAGATGTTACATATTATATTCAAGAAACTGAATATTTCGTGTCCACACCGGATGATGATCCTGAGGAAGGCCCTTTATCGTCTTCTGAACATTGTGAAGCAGTTCATGGCTTGTCAGATGAAATGTGCAATCAAGAAGGACCTGCAATCAGCCAAGAGGATTCTGGTAGTCAAGAATTAGAATCCAAGGTAACATATATGATCAGTGAACTTGCCTGCAGTGAGGACAGAGATTTACTATGTGTTGTAGAAGAAGAAATTCAAGTCTCTCCCCAAATGAAAGAGGCTACGCTAGATGTTCTGCAAGAAGACTCAAAGGACCCAAAGCAACAGCTGAGGGAACCTTTGGAAGAGCTCCAAGGAGAAGTGAGTGGGGAATTAAAGGAAAATGTATCTCTTATCACAAGAAATGATGAAGAAGGTGATGATGGTCTGTCTGTGGACATCAGAAAAGTACAGAAGGATTCGGATGAGAATTCAATGACCATTGTAGCAGAGATCAATGTTTCACAGACTCTAGAAGGTTCTGAACTGTTGGAGGAGCAGGACAAAGATACGTTTCAAGAGACAGAACGGTCAGTAAATGTAGACGGCAGTACAGAGGAACATAACAGTGTTAGCCGTTCTGAGGAATCCAGTACGCCTCAGACTGATGTCAGGATCAGGGCTCCTCATCCACAGGCAGATAGAAGTGAGGAGGTCAGTCAGGAGGGGGATTTGAAGACATGGCAGGAGTACACCGCAGAGTGCACCGAAACCAGCCAGGTGCTACAAAGCAAAGAAGCTCTACCCCAGTTAAAAGTGAGTCAAGAGGAAACAATCGTCTACTTGGAAAGCCGTGAAGAAGCATAGTCACCCTAGTTCTAATACAGTACTGCTTGGCTCACTGTACCAGTGACCATGACCACCTGTCACCTACAGCATGACATGTTTTGTGTTCGAGTCTCATTAGGGGTGATATCATTTTAACTGTAGCTCAGCCGCATTAACTGAAATATCCTTGCTGTTCCAAGCCTAAAATATTTTAGTACATATTTAGAATAGCATGAATAGCAGAAATCAAAAGACCGCAACAACAGCTTAAATCTAATCTAAAAATTTCATTACAGGTCTGATGTAACAGTTTGGCTGCATACATGTTGCTGTTCATTCATGTAACACGTTTGTATAGCTGGCGTTTACAGTTGGTAACAGCTTTATGGCTACTTTCCTGCATAGTGTCATTTAAGACATTTAGTTAGGTGTGATGCGCTGGACAGAAAGACCTTTTATCTGAAATGTTTGGTTTTTGGGTGCACCAGTATTTTTCTGAATATACTATAATTACCAGGAGAACAATCTTACCTGAACTCATGTCATTTTTTTAATGTGACACATTCTTGCACACATTTGCTATTCTTTGTAGTTAGTTAGGAATGAGAAGCTGAGTGTGAAAATAAACACACTTGTTTGTTCGATCGCCTTGGGATGGACTGGCCTGCTGTCCAGGGGGATTCCCTGCCCTATGCAGTCTGGCCAGGCTCCAAGTCTCCCATGACCCTCACCAGGGTACAGAGTGGGAAAGTGGATGCATGTTTCTTCAAGCTGATTAGTCAGAATAAAATTGAGTTGCTCAGGCAGGATTGCTAAGATGGCTTTTCTAGGCACGGAGGGTCACCTGATGTTCTGTTTTACTGGGTTCATCTTGGTTATGGGATGAATCACCGGGTCACCCGTGAATTATTATTGAACCGAGAGGAAGCACCTTTCAGCAGAGAGATCGGCTTAATGCTCAAGCATCCTGTGCAGTTTAAATTTCACTGAAGAGATCTCCATAAGAGCTTTGTTTGTAAATGATGGACAGTGTCGTCCTGTAAACCACAAACAACAGAACACCATTGAGTACAAATATCATGTAAAAAATATTAAATGGATATATGATTGTACCCTTTGGAAGCTTCTAAGGATGTATTGTTCAGTGGCAGTTTTCAGTGTGACCCTGTGCTGTAAGATGGATGGATGGATGGACTGAATTTTTTATTTTTATTTTTTTACATGCTGACAATAAAATCCATGGAGTGTGTCTGTGATTGTCATTTTGTTAACATTGATTATTTTTCGAAGAATTCATTATCATTCAGTATTTACAATAACACTAGCCAAAAAACCCATACTTGAGGCTGAATCGTGAATAAAATGACCGAAGCCATGAGGTCGTTACTGAGGTGATCATCGTTCGGTTGAACCTGAACGAATCCGCACCGGCTATCTTCATGCAGCCTTAGAGCTGCCGTTCCACCACGCCTGCTGCCTTACTCCTGGCCAAAGCTTTCATGCGTAACGTCCCCACGAACTCTGTAATGGCTGACATCTGAAGAACACCTGCGTTTGTGTGGATGTCACTCCACAGAAAGCCTAAAGGTAGCCTTTCTTCTGCACTTTAGACCCTGACCCAGGCCGACACCCACATGCTCACAGTGAAATGCAATTGTGAATAATGGCATAAACTCCTGAAGTGAATGTGCCTACCGGTGCCAGTTTGAGGTCTCCTTTTGACTATTCTCCTGGAGCATGTGATCATCTAGTTTCTCTAGTGAGGACACGTCACACGATGACACGTGTTTGAAGCCATTGGTGTGTGAGATACTGGAAGAGAGAGCGCCATTGCTACTAGGGGGAAAAAAGCAACGACCATAGAAATAGCCAGAGGGCTGGGAATCTTTTGGCTGTGTGAGGCTCCTTCATGGCCCGCAAATAACCGTCCCTTCCTCTGTGGCTCTGACAGCTGTCCAACCTGACAGCAGAGTCCCAAGGTAATTCCAGGGGTGCAACCTGAACCCCAGCGCGCTGAAATGTGGGCACGCGGAGACGTGAACGCCCCGACGCCCTTTGGCTTTCTCACCCGAGCCTTTCCTGCCAGATGTGCCGGGGCGTTGGGGTTTTCCAAACTGACAGCTTCCCCTCCTCACCTTTGACCTCCCCGTTAATTTCAGTCCAGCCGCACCAAAGCAGAACGTTCCGAAATTATTCACGTTCACTGTTCAGAAACAAAGCAAATTTTAACAGCACCCATGGGCCATTCTTGATTTTTAACACCGTATCTTTCACTTAATATGTCATATAATTAATTCAGCTAAAGAGAATTCAACTAATAGCTCAGAGTTGTTAAAATCTTATCTAGCTCTGATTTAAAGGCACCAAAGGTTTTAGCTTGCACTACACTAACAGGAAGACTATTCCATACTCTAACTACACGCTTTCTCAAATCCAGTTTAAAATGTTCTCCGGCTAAATTCCACCTATGGCCACGAGTTCTTGTATTTGAACTAATATTGAAGTAACTATTTCGTTGAACAGCATCCAGACCTGTTAAAAAAAATGTGTAAAATACTCTCAATAGACTCAATAGAATTAGAATCTTAAAAGACTCTAAAAGATACTGTTTTCCTCTCACTGGGACGTAGCATAGTTTTTCAGTTAAATGGTCTAAATGGTGAGGTAAGAAAAAAAAACACACACTAGCTGTTTCATAATGGAGGTCTGGGCAGAAGCAGTCTGAATAGCAGTGAGTTTGTTGCCTCTTTGGGTTGCCAGTGGTGATGTCACTGGGGCCTGTTTTAAACAGAAAGGTAGCAGAACACTGCTGGAATCTCTCTGTTAGTAAACTGCAGTGATGGGTTAAATTATTCTCAAAGCAGTTGACTGTTGTCTTCCTCCTGACACTCTTTACCCCAAAATTAGACATCTGAACTAAAGCACAGCTGCTGTTGTGATTGCGGGTGATGAACACGATATGACCGTAAGTTGTTAAATGGGGGATAATTTGGGCCTGTTTTTGGCTCAGACCATGGAGACACGCGTGTGCTTTTCCTTGTACTGCAATTCCCCAAGTCCCAGCGCATGGATTCAATAACGCTAGTCCATAGCAACAAGCCTCCTTCGTTTACGTGCCGTGTTTTGGCTGATGCTCACGGGACCCCCTTGTGTGCATTATTTTCATCTGCATTTCGCACAAAACTGCTATTCTGCAGGTACAAAAGGTTCAGTGATGGTAAGAAAGAGGCTTTCTTATGGTGTCGGTCTCTGACTGGCTTAGCAATCTGAACTGATAAATTGACCAATGAAATGCAGCTTCATAGATGGCAACTGAAAGGCCCGCCCCCCCCCCGCGGACCTCACAGTCCACTGACCCCCGTTTTGGCAGCACCGCTTATACTCAAAAGGAGTCATTTCAGGTCAATCACTACACTGTGATGAAGCATGTTACTGGGGTCCGGTACCTAGCAGGATAAGGTTTCAACAAGTTATCCAGGCAGTGAAGGGGGCCGTAGCCTTTTTTGAAAAGTTTCGAAAGTCGGTCAGTTATTTCAGACTAAACTGTTTCACATGACCACAAGCCTTATTTTTTCCCTGTCTCTTCATTTTTGGAAAATGTCACATGAGTGAAAGTCTTGTTTTAAATTCCCTGTACTACTTTCTGTATTAAATTTCCCAAATGCAGTGACACTAATTGATCATATGTCAGTTTTGAAAACAAAGACCCCTATTTGAACGACGACTAAGTGTTACTTTCCCATAAATAGTTTTATTACACGTTCATTAATACTTTTATGACATGTTTATAAATGTCCTTATTATGTTTACCCCACATTCCCTTCACTGATGAGGATAACAGGATGTCATTCTTATCCGGGCCTGCACAGAGCCTGAGGAATGACTGCATCCAGAAGAATTAAGCTTTGTCGTTGTGATATTTAACACCACTGCAAATAACTCCAGAGATGGTGGTGCCAGATTGGTCTGTGAGGGATTGAGGGGGGGGGGGGGGTGGGGGGGGGAGAGGTGGACCAGAGTGAGAAGCAGCCCAAGAATCTGGCTCTGAGGATTACAGCATGGCTTAATCTTAACCGAGGTTAGCTTAATCTTAACCGAGGTTAGCTGAATCTTAACCGAGGTTAGCTGTTCGTACAGGCACACAGTTTAGTCTCTCATTGTTCTTTCCCCTGGTTTTCATTTGTAGGGGTTCTGCCTTACGTTGGAACTGCCCTCTTCCCAAGTTAAATGCAGTGTTCTGCAGCCTCATGCAGGGAATCAGGGATGGGCAGGGGGGTGTTGCTTGGCCCTGCTGAACCAAGATCCCAAAAACAAACCACACCCTGCTTTGCACAAACAATGTCATATTTGGGGTATAATGGAGAGGGAGCTTTATAGGAAACAAACCAGATTTCTCAATATAATGACGTATTTTCCAGGTTTAATGCAATTAAATTTAATGAATGAAGACTGCCTGCCTGTTGTCTGAGTCGCAGTTATAATGAAGGCACATTGCTGGCCTTGAAATAAAACTCGAAGCAAAGCAACATGGTTCAAGTAGGTGAGTGTTATTTCATCACTTCCTGCACTGGCTGCGCTCCACTCCACTAAGATGTTCTCCATCATGTTCCTGCCTGTAAGGCCTCCTTATTTGTGACATTACACTGCTAGTGTTCCAGAATCTTAACCACTGCAGCTGTGATATTTAACTCTTTGCCTTGACTGGATGAGATATAAAAGGCTTGCACAGAATGGGTCTTATGAATTTGGTGTTTCTGATATCACACATTCCCCTAAATCTAACACCCATTCTGGTGTGTGTGGGGGTGCAACTTAACACTGTCAGGTCTTTGCAAGCTCCCACCTTCTGAAACCACCTTTGAAGAGCCAGGAGGCCCGCTAGCTCCAGGGACTGGCACACGACTCTGGCTTTATTTGGTGATTTGGCCCGAGTTCGTCAAAGGGAGTGTTTACAGTTTCCCAGACTGTTCAATTACAATTATCAGAGGGGGCCTCTTCCTGCAGGCTGACACTGAGCTCATGTTCTGGATAAAAACAAGTGCCAAACATGTTGCCTGCTTTGCTGGAAGACAGGACAACACAGGGCAGTATTTTACCCGTATTTGGACTGGATCTCACTGTCACAGGGTGTCTACCTTAGAGCACGTCACACACATTTATACTCAAACACACAGCCGGTGTGCATCAGCTATATTACTGCATCGTAGTTTTTAAGCTTGATTCTTTCTTATGCTTTTTTTCCATCTCATTGATAAGTTCCCAGGGATGAGTAAAAGCTTCCTGGTAGACATGTGATTACCGGCTGTCTTCCGTGATGAAGGGACTTGAGAATCCGCAATGCACGGCCATGCATCATGCAAAGCTCACCAACACGATGGAAGAAGGAAGGAAGGGACCGGAGGGCTGTTTCGTAAATCTAGACAGAAAGTCGGTTCCCACACAAAATGGATTAAGGTTTCCTAATAGATTTTTAATCCAATTTCACCTCCGCTGGCAAAAAAAAAAAAAAAAAAACGAACAAACAAGAGGTTCATCTAAGACCAGTCATTTAGTTAACCGCATGTACTGAGACTTATAATGCCCAGATAAATATAGGCCCCAAGATACGTGAAGTTTTCTTTTGAAATCTGAATCCAGTGCATCCTTTGTCTATGGCTGCCTTGCAGATGTTAAGTGGCACAACCAGGTTATTGTTCTGTCCCAGCATCTATATCTGTCTAGAGCTGACTTTACTCTGCACCATTAATATTCTCTCTGGACACTTATACCCATTTGTACATCTGGATATCATCTGTGAACAGTTTGGCTTGGTTTCAGCAGTGGAGTCCTTGGTACGACCTTACACAGTGAGTTTCCTAATCATGAAGCTGATAGGAGTGGGTGTGGTTCCTGGTCAAAAAATGGCCTCCCCATCAGATTTCCCTACAAAGTCCGACAATGAGCTCAGAAAGGGTGAACTCTCCATCCCTGCTCCATGCGTCGTCTGGTCAGGGGCCGTGTGATCTGGGCTCTTTTTTGAGGAGCTGGCCTTATAAGGAAATCTGGAGAGTGGAGACTCAACATGCCAGGAATTTGGCTGCATGGCGACAAACCTCTGCCCAAACAACATGGATCCCCACTCAGATGAGGGCCAGCAGACTAACTGTGGTGTAGATGAAACCTACTGGATGGATGCACAAAATATTTTTTTTTCATGCATTAATGGCCAAAAACCAGACACACCCTCTGCTCAATAATCTGAGACAGATGCAGGCCA